AAGTTATATTTATAGCAAAATTCTATCAGCCTATCTCCCCTATAATTTCTATTGCCTAATCCAAAAGAACCCGCTATTGTACCGTTTTTACCTTCACCTACTACTGCTTTGAAATCTCCTACAACTATTTGGTTTTCCTGGCCTTCCACTAAACTTAACACATCCTCTATATCTGCATATACCTATTCTACGTCTTCATCGTTGTAAGATTAAGTAGGCATATAAACCTGCATTACTATTATCATTTTTATCGGTTTCGAGTTTAATTTAACCGTAACTATCCTATCGCTTTTTTGTAAATAATTTTTTACACTCTGTCCCGTTTTCCTTTGCATTATAATTCCTACCCCCGCATTACCTTCTACCGATCCTGTATGTATTATTCTAAAGTGTCCACTCCAGAAATCTCCAGCTTCTGAGAAACCAACTTCGCTAATACCTACTATATCTAACTCTAATCTATTCATCTCAACTTTCACATTTTCTATTTTCGCTATTTGTCTAATTGAAATATTGCGCCTTCCCCTACTTGATGTCATTCTTCGAGGTAGTCCCCACCTGGACATCCGAGTGGGAGACTAGTTTACGTCCAGAGTGCTTTACCCCCAGAGGGCTCCATCATTTAATTTGCAGAGGTTTAAGAGTACGTTGTACTCGGGATCATTATGTGGTGGTTTCCCGTTGTCTTCCACATCGCAGTAAATTATCAGAATTGCATCATTGATTTTCCTATGAGTTACATAGAATTTGAGTCATATTATGCATCAGAAGTTCCTTACACACTCGTGTGACCTTCGAATTTGCTTATCCCAAATCGGAAACTTGCACAAAAAAGAATTACATATACACGCTTTATTAAGTATGTTTACTTATACATATGTATGCTACATTTTTTTCTTATTAATATTCTGCTATCAAATTGAAACAATATTATAGTGGCATATCCATCTGAATTCAGAGTCTGTTACAACTGGAGATGCACTGGTTACTGATTTTGCCAGGTATCCAGTAAAACCACTGTCATGACTTCGTTCTAGCGGACTTTTCATCAAATACTACATCCACCAACGTACCAAACCACATTAATCCCGTTCAAAAAGTAGTTTATAAATACTAAACCAATGAAATTTTAATTCTTGGTTAACGAAAGAATAGGAGAACAGAGGACTCTATGGAAGTCAATAAAAAATAGGCGAGATAGGTTGGTGGGACACCTTCTCAGGCATGAAGGTCTAGTCAGAGACATATTAGAGGCAGAAACAGGAGTTAGGAGGGGTNAATAGGAGAACAGAGGACTCTATGGAAGTCAATAAAAAATAGGCGAGATAGGTTGGTAGGACACCTTCTCAGGCATGAAGGTCTAGTCAGAGACATACGAGAGGCAGAAACAGGAGTTAAGAGGAGTAGAGGTAGACCTAGATTAGATTACTGTTCGCAAATAATTAAGGATGTGGGCTGTTCTAGTTTTAGGGAAATGCGAAGTTTAGCTCAGGATAGGAAACAGTGAAGGTACGTGTCCAACCAGTCTTAGGAATGACGACCTTATGATGATGATGATGATGTTGAACGAATTTTCACCGAGAGAGTTGAGTGGAAAGCGTTGAAACGAGTCAATAAGTTTATTAACACTAAAAGTCTGCAAGGTGACAAAATCATATTAATAAATTATCGTTAATCAAAACATATAGATACCAGCAAGCGACAGAAACACAGAAATTGTAACACTTAGACCTTTAGTGATGTAGTTTTGTTCAACAGAATAAGTAAACACAAGCACTATTATCGAAATAACGAATAGTTTAGTACAGTAATCAATTAATAATATAAATTAGGACAAACAACCTATACTAATACAAAATTTTAATTGCCAACATTCATAATACAGGCTTTTTGTTATATTTATTAGATTATTATTGCTGATTGTTTTTCTTTTTTTCTGGTAATTACTCGTCATTATCGGGTACCCGGCCGGATCCTAAAAATGCATTTGACTGTACAGTGCTTTTTTTATGGAATTCCCAGTATAAGATCATTACTACCTACATTATTTTTCATTATATCTTAAACGTGAATAACAACGTTGTTCAGTTTTGCCCTGAAGAAAAAGAATAATAGCGAGGGTCAAATTCCAGTTTTGGAACAATTCATTTTAAACCACTGCTTAATAATATAATTATAGCGTGATACAGGAAAAAGAGTAATATCAGTTCAATAAAAAAATCAACCGTATCGTACGACCATGGCGGTCTGGTGGTTAACGCATAGAGTCACAAACACAAATTAGGTAAGCACACTCGTTAAATCAACTATTTTAGGGTCACAAGGTGTGTTAAACCTGCTAGTGGCAAACATCGGATAGTTTTAATGTTGACAGTAAATCCGTACAACTAAAAAAAAATAAGAACGTCATTACTCTACGATAAAATTGTAAAAACTCTTTTTAAAAATGACGTAAGAGCTTTTAAGCGTATATAACCGATTTGCAGGAAAATCTGTTCTCATTTTCAACTGCTGCCTGTCAAATTTTTTGCATAAAATATAAGTGTTTGCATCGCATAGATGTTAAAGACGTAAAAAAAACAAATTAAAAAAAAAAAAGTAATTTTTTTTATGGAAAACTTCGTCCACGTGCATTTAAGGTATGAATTTGGTTAATTTTAAACGAAAAACAATGCTAAAAATGTACCTACGGCTAATATTTTACGTATCATACGTATGTATGTACGTACATATGTTCAATTGTTACAGGAAATGTACACCAATCGGTTACAACTTGATTTCGATTAAGTACGTAGTTATCAAGTATGTAATTAACGATTAAATGTTTGCTTACTTCTCCTCAACTGCAAAAATGCACTCCTATTCCACTTTAAGTGTCAATTACATACTGTATAAAAAATCCACATAAAAGCGACTGATACTTTTTCCTTTATCTGTCACGGGACACCCTTTACTTAATAGATACCCCTACACCACATACAATGCATAAATAGACATATTCTTGAGGAAACAGATCAAGAACTCGGTTAGAATTTTGAGGGGGGGTGTAGGTAGAGTATAATGGGTAGCCACACTAGCTCTTGTGGGCCCCATGAGGTTACTCGTAGTGCAAGGAAGGGGCATATATAACGCCTTGCCGCATTTGCGTATCATTAGGAATGCCGCATGTGGCCCCCCGCAGGAAAATTTATTGCTACCCCATTAAAAATTTTTAGAAAAATGAACTTTATTATTAATGAAAAAAATACAATGTATTTATACACAT